TCGGTTGATTGAGTTGTCAGCATCGGGAAACTGTCAGGCTAAAATTACCCACCCCTTCGTGTTCGCTACCCTGCTATCAATTCTATGGGGCGCCCCTTCAACGTTAACCATAAAAACCCAGTTCAAGGATCAATTCTAAATTGCAACAGATAAGGCAAATTCATGTTTAATATATCACTTAAATACATATTTGTAATATGACAAAAACAAAGCTACTAACTACAGAAAAAAACACGAAAAAAGAGTCCTTCGTGAGACGTCACTTGTCAGCCACCGGTTCAAGCAATTTTTAACCTCTTATGGAACTTCATTAAGGCATGTTATCGAGTTCACACGAGCCCTCCACTGGATCCTACACCGAATTATATGAATCCAATCAACACCCTGGAACAGTGTTCCTTAAAAATCAATTTTATCTTTATCTTCACACCTAGGTTTAGGTCTCTCGAGTACTTTCTTCACTTTAGATTTTCAACTAACGCATATATCATTATTCTCACGCATGCTACATACCCCGCCCATCTAATTTTCCTTGCTCTAACCATCGTCACAATATTTGGTACTAATTCAATTAGAAAACACAGAACCTTCATTAAGCTAGACTCTGAACTGTGCTGAATATTTAACCGGTCTACAACAATTTTAGTGAGTCCTAATTGAATTAAAAGAACTCCCTTACACAAGCCTACTATAAAACAGTTTCAGAAGACAGTATTCTTATTAACACTCACTAGCAAGTGGGTGGTCCCCCAGCCTTTCTGGATAGGAAACAAACATATCTGTTAAATTATTGACCGCGAAGTTAAATATATATCTAATTCATCATTATAAGAATCTGTTACAAACTCCTTTTCCCAAAGAGTTCTGCCCTAAGATATATAGCGAAGTGCTTGTGACCCTGCTCGCATGAAGTGACTTTACAGGCACAATCTGCCTAAGCAGGATCAAAAGTGAGTTGTTCACCCTACGCCGATTTACTGACATCCCATAATATGAATAATTTAACTTTTAGAAAGCCTGGCAGCTACAACTAACAATACAGATTATTTTAGAAGGAGAAAACAGGCTGCCTTGCCTTGCATGTAAGTTATGCAATCATCCACACACTCGTATAGCCCTATAAAAGAATGTTTAATTTGTAGGTCTATAAGTTAACAGTCAAAATTGGTAGTAACAAACAAAAATAAAGATGGTAGCAATAAATGAGAACGGAAGACTAGAGTCGGTATTGCAGTACACACCTTTGCCGAAATAAGTTCATAATGTACCTCTAGAGAGGAGCAGCGATTGTTATTCTATGAAGTTACATGCATATTCCGTGAAATAAAGGTAAAAAGGTAAAGTTATTCCTGTAACAGGCCGTCGAGGCCCATAAGGTTGTGAGCCGTCGAGGCTCCCACTTTTTCTCTACACAATCGGTCCACAGATGGCGGTGAGGTTATCGGCCTTACCCGCCGCCCACCCTTAAACCCCCAGGAAGACTCCTGGTACTCATTTCTGTTAGAAATATTTAAAAAATTTCTCTCGAGAGATATATCGTACATGAGTGGCTATACTGTTAGACAGTATCTTACTATAAGCGCATGTAATAAGTTCACACGCAACAATTCGTCATTAAAATTTGAAGGGGCTTTATGCTAGTGCACTCATAGCAAGTGTTTCTACCAATAAAAATATTCTCAGCTTCAGTAATCTGTATATCTCCAAATGTTATATCAAAGGGGAAGTCTACAGCTTAAAGACTGAGGATGTGATAATGTGCTGCTTGATCAGGGCTCCAGCACAACTCAGAGGGCGGTGAGAGACCTGGGTGAGTATGGGGCAAAGCAGAATGATGATCAGCAGGAGAAACCCAGAAAAAAAAACCCTGTTCCGGTGTAATTTCTTCCGCCACAGATATCAAAATCACCCAAGGTCGAATCCGGGCCTCCAAGGTGAAAATCCATCCTCTACCCCCATATCTCGGCATACTGAACCATAACAAAGATAACATATTCTAGTTCAGTACATATTTTTCTGATGTAACCACAGAAAAGGGAGTTTCATGTTCTTAGCGCAAACATCATTCAACGAGTTCTAGTTATCACGTATATACTCAGCAGTAGTGGCGATGCTTTTCGCTTCCGTAGTGAAAATGTACTTAGAGCTTAATATACTGCAGGCAACAGTTTATTTTGCAAACACGGTGGTAGCAGTACGTATTAACTAATTCAACAGACGTAACTTTCAAATAACTAAAATTAATAAATTTAATTAAAACAGTAAACAGAAGGTACTAAAACGAGATAATTTAATTTTAAATGTCGGCAGAGCCGTTCTGTAGAGCGAGGCAATAACTCAGAACAGGAAGGGTTCCGGTTTCATAGCATAACACTGAACGCATCATAAACCGGCAATATAGACATGAACGTAACGTGTTTCATGAATCTATCAGTACATCGTAAAGAGCTTCGCTTTACGACAAGGGAATGCTGTATATTGAGGCATTTACTTATACAAGAAGGGGGATACACGTATATACAGACAGCCGAACCGTCTTCCCTCGCTCGAACGACGCTAGGATCGTGGGTTGGAATCCCACTCAAGGCATGGGTGTCTGAGTTTATTCTGTGTCTGTGTTGCTTTGTGTGTAGGTAGCGGCCTTGCAACGGACTGATTCCAAGTCCAGGGAGCCCTACCGACTGTCTATAAGATCCATAGTCTCAGATTAATTCTTATGACAGCAGGTCAGAGGGCATAATGTAAAAGGTAGACGAAGAAGAAAACATCGAGGTCATTCCGTACAACTATGGCTGACACGTGGCTCATTACAGCAAACATGGCTGTATTTTAAGGTAACATAAACCAGTAACCAACGTTTAACTTAAATTTCGTCCTTGTTTCTTTCAATGGCCGTACTTAAAAATAACTCAAAATGCTTTAACAATTTCAAAGTACACTTATTACGAGAGCAAACTGTTATACTGAATATCCAATGCAGAGGCAGAAGCTGGAACTCAAGTACGAAACTGAGAAAACGATTCCTGTGACTTACCCATGAAGAAGGGCCGCGCCATAGCTCAAGCGGTTAGTCGCTGGCTTCCCACCGCGGCGGCCCGGGTTCGTTCCCGGGTCTGGTCAAGTGCGATTTGTGGTGGACAAAGTGGCGCTGGGGTAGGTTTTATTTGAGTACTTCGGTTTCCCCTGCCAATCTTCATTCCATCAATTGCTCCACAATCACCCTCACCTATCATCTGGGGCTGGTACAATAGGCCAGAAGTGGCTGCAGTACAAGGGACCCAGTCCCAACCCACTAGTAATAAAAAAATAACCATGTCTACTGCTAAAGGCAGTTGTACACGGAAATTTACTTTCAAACATTATTACTGTGGCCATAAGCATCTTCACTGGTAAGGTGAAACAGGTTGTCGATTAGATTCAACTAAAAGTATAGAATGTAACACAGTCTTGTTTGTGTCTCTGCCTATTTAATGATGCTTTCAAAGCTCACTTCATACAGCATACACTGATAGGATTAGAATGAACTGGAATAGATGTGAAACGAGGCATTTGTGGCTCAACTTGAAGTACTATCTCAGAACTGTCTTAGAGGGACTGCAGAAAACCACGAAAAATATCGGTGAATATGGCCGGTTGGTTTTCAGGACGATGTTTGAACCTGGGACCTAGTGAATTATGCTGCTCAGTTGATTGCAACGTTCGCTCCATAGCTTAGCCTCCCATGTGACCACGATTCTCCCAACAAGTCTACGTGGGGCAAATATGGACGTTAAACTTCTCTGATCGTTTGCAGAAAGCAGAGTAGGTCTACTCATTTTATCAGCGCAGCGGCAGATATTTGAAACCTTACTAGTGGAACAGAGGGGGCACGTGGTAGCGTTGTTGGTTGAGGCTCTATGCTACAAGCCGGAAGGTGGTGGGTTCAAGTCCCGATGAATACACTGAATACAATGAATACTGAATATACACAATTCGAATCTCGGCCAGTGTGAAATAGGTCATGATTGCTTCCTCCTTAATCCATTTGAATTGAACATACATAAGAAAAGTTGCATATCATGATGAGTACAAACAGTGTCATGGGCAGAAGGTCAGGCGCATGTTTTGTACAGTGTCGTGTGGAACATGGAACATATCGTACTAACGTCTTCCTTTTAATGAGGGGAGAAACTGAGGTACTAAGTTTGCTGTCTTGTGGGACGTGACGGTGTGTTTTGTTTCGTGCATGCTCCTTCCTTTTTCGGGATAGATGAGGGCAAGTATCAGAAATACAAAGATAGGTGGCTCTAGTGGCATTATGCTCAGTTAAGGTGTTAATACAATCCGTCCACTGGATTAAAAGTTATTAGCAGGGATAAGCACACGATTGCCGATTACAGGTGCCGCGCGGTGAAGGGCGTGAACCTTCTTCGCCCGCCGAACACTGGGATCGTGGGTTAGAATCCCACTCAAGGCATTGATGTCTCTGTGCGTTTATTCTGTGTCTGTGTTGTTCTGTGTGTAGGGAGCGGCCTTGTGTCATGCTGATTCCCCTTTCAAGGAGTCCTAGCGACTGTGTATAGATTAAGAAACAGAAAAAGGGGCCAAGGTTCAAAAGAGGGCCGTAAAGCCGTAGAAAGCGAGAGATACGCACACGGCATCGTTATACAGCCAGCCCAGCCTTCTTTATAAATAAGGAAAGTATGCTACGAGAGATCCGTGGATGGGTTGNNNNGGGGGGGGGGAAGCATTTCTCTCAAGGAAAAAATCAGGAATTAACGTTTCGCTATTTTTAACAATACAAATAAAAAGGAAGACCCATTATTAAATAACTGCATAAATACATCTATAGAAGACACAGAAACACTGTAAAAATAATTGTAACTGACAGTCGTAAAGGCAAAACATACACACTTGAAGGCCTACTGCTCAAAGTCTATATCTCCAAATATGATTATCATGTAAAACCAGTTTTAATAAAGGATTATTCGAACACGTAGAACTCAATGTATTGCACTTACCAGCCGCTCTTATCTCAGTGATGATACACGGTAAGGAGCAGTCAGAATGGCTTACCTACAAAGACGGAAAAACACAATTAACAACATGGATTCAGAAATATGGCCAGTATCACAACATAAATCTGCGTTACGTAATATTATTATGTTTCATAATCCTTTTACAGGTCGCGGGTTCAAGTCCCGATGAGGTCACTGGATTTTTTTCAATTGACCTAATCCTTCCGGCCGCACTATGGCCCTGAGGTTCACCCAGCCTCTAACAGAAATGAGTACCAGGAATTAATTAAATAATTTTCCTGGGGAGTAAAGCGCGGCCGGCGCGTAAGGCTGACAACCTTACCGCCATCTTTGAGCCGACTGTCTAGATAATGTGGGACCCTCAACGTCTCACAACCCTACGGGCCTTCACGGCCTGGTACAGGGATAGCTTTACTTTTTTACTCCTTTTACAATACAAAGAGTTGCGGGCATTCACGACTATCACCGATATAGAACTCAACCTCCCACGGTCCTGCAACAGAAGTTTACGGTGCAGATCTTGAGGAAACAACTGTCGTTTAACTGACCGAGAAATTTACCACGTTATGTGGAACCTGAAATTTCGTTACAATATTTACATGATCCAGCCAGTGTAACATATCCTGAGCCCCATTCGAAGTCCACACCTAAAAACCCAAATTTTTTAACAGCCCATCTATGACTGCCTCTTCTGTATAATCTGCTTCCTTAAGGATTTCTGCCAAACCTGTCTGTAACGGAACATGGCTTAAAAGGGAATTCTATAGAGATATGAGAAATATAATAAGCGGAAACTGTTTAATGTGGAAGAGAAAACTCAGACAAGAACCTCCTTTTTTTTTTATTTATTCAATTTGGCATACGTGTAGCTGAGGGTTCTCTCTATAAAATGTTGTAAATTTTCTACATCAGTTTAGTTTACATTTGTGGCATAATTCTGTGACTTCCGAATTTAATGAAAAATACACGCGGAATGTACTATTCAATATTATTTATACAGACGTAACAGTAGTAAGGGAAAGTTGCAATCCCTGTCTTTGCAGGGTTATATTTATAAAATTTAACTACACTTATCAAAGCAACCAAAAACTCTACAGTTACGAAATTTTGTAAGCAAGTAGTTGAGAGTTATTTATAACTCACAGAATTACTGGGGGTTTGGACTTTTCCCATCGTCCGGAATTCTAGGTAACAGAGTACACGACGTTTCGGAAACTGGATCTGTTTCGTTTTCAGGTGAGGGGCCTAACTGAGTAGGTGTCATCCTTTCTCACCTGAAGACGGAAAGAGATGCAGTTTTCGAAACGTCGTGTCCTCTATTACCTAGAATTCCGGATGATGGAAAAAGTCCAAAACCAAAGTAATTTTGTGTCATCCACCATCGTCAGAACCCTTTAGAATTTACTTATTTATAACTGCTGATATTTCTTTGCAGTAATTTATTGCGAATACATTTCAAATATTGTTTATATAATATTAGTTTTATAAATAAACCACTGCAGAAAAACAATTCAGCAGAAATAAAGATCCTTACTGTTATGCCAAGTTTCATAATTATAGGGTTTGTGGTTGCTTAGAAAAACGTATCTGAATTTCATAAAAATAACAGTGTGACTTTAGGGCCCATAATCTTCTCTTAAATTAAAACACCTTTGAAATGATCCCTTAGATTTTAGTTACAAACAGGTTTACTCTATAGCGAAACAGTTTATTACGTACGTAAATAACGACTTCCACGCAGAAACTGCACTAGCTGACATACAGTCTGTCTCCGATATTATGGTTACGAACATACATGTTTAATGTTTGAAGCAGCCAAATGTGACTTTAATGGAGTTTCAATTATAGGCCTATAAATAAGGTAAATGATAATTACATACTTTATATCACTAAGATACATTTTAATTGATCCTTTTCGACCAGCATATTAAAAGCATCATATTACCATCTGCATGAAAAGCCTATTAAATGCTACGGCATACGCAAACACTATGAATCTGCTACTATACGGCAAGATAAATTTAAATAAATATTTATTTCATAAAATAATAAATTGCAAGTTGTATCAATTTTTTGATCTTATTAAAATTTAACTTTTCGGGGCCTAATATTGCATTTAAGCAACATCGTAAAGTTCTAAAAACAAGACTACTTCAAAGTCACGTTCATTTTGGCTGATTTACTTTAAAAAGGAGAGGGGGAATGTCACGCAGAAGGAACAGCCTCAATGTCGGTTGGCGGGGAGCACCTCGGACGTTGCGGGCAGGTGCAGGAGGGTTCCCGGACACCTGCTCTTCCATTCTGGCGCTCTCTCGTTACAGTCGCTACCAAACAGATGTTTCCTTCCTAACTTAGCAGCTTCAACAAAGCCACCACTAGCAGTGCGTAGCTGACGGGGCCGGTAAAAACGCCGTTATGATTAACAGATTTCAGCTTCTCGTAGAGATGGCTATGGAGATCATTGCAGTATCGGATGCGACGCCGTTTGCTTTCGTACCGACGTTTCGGAGGATTCTTCTGCCCTAAAGATGAAGGCAACAGGTTCTTCATAAACGTTGACGAACTACCGATATCCCAGAAGGCAGAAAGTCATCAGTGTCTTTATGTGGATGAAATTAACAAAGAATTCATTCAAAATAAATAGTATCTCTCTGTCTCTTGCGTTTTTCAGTTCCTGGACTCTTTATGGAATTTTTATTAAATCAAATATGGGAGACCCGAAGATTCTCTATATCTTTGTGATTAGTCACGTTGGCACCACGCTGCATACTGCCCACTGTCTGAGCTATAGAGAATGATCCTGGACTTCAAGTTGTCCTTCTGAATCAACAGCGTTACGTCAACATGGGTATGACACTCAACGGTTAAGGGGACATCGGCAGTTGAAACTTAAAATGATCGCTCCTAGAGCTGAGCCCTTCTTGAGGAGCCGCAAATTGTGCAGCTACTCAAGAACTTCCCAGCACTTTCTGGAACCCGAAGGTTCATTACCGTGTTCACAAGAGCCATCCACTGGTCCCTATCCTGAGCTAGATCAATTCAGCTCATACCATCACATCCTATCTCTCTAACATCCATTTCAATATTGTTCATCCACCTAGTCTTGGTCTTCCTAGTGGCTTCTTTCCTTCTGGCTTGAGATTGAACCCTACCATATGAAGTCTGTGCGTTGTTTGTTTACTCACTGCCAGTCCCTCCCTAACTTTTGCCACAACCAGGTAGTGGTTAGTATTATAATCTGCTGCCCTGAATGATCGGACATCAAATATACTTGAATGCCGTCTCCTGCCTACCAAAATATGGTCAATTTGACTGTGTATCTTTCCATCAGGAGACGTCCAAGTAAATTTATGGATGTGACGGAACATCGTACTTTGGACAATAAGATATTTTGATGTGGCCAAGTTTACTACTCTAACTCCATTGTCATTACTATGTAATTTCGTGCAAACTCTCATTCCTAACTGTTGGTTTGAAAATGTCTCCCCCCCCCACCTTTGCATTCAAATTTCCCCACAAACTTTTTATATGGTATTTAGGGAATTTATCGAATACATGTTCTAGTTTTTCGTAGAACCTCTCCTTCATATCATCAATTTTATCTTCTGCTGGGGCATGAACATTCATAATGATATCACACCAACGACCTTTTAGTATTATATACGACATCCTATCACTAACAAGCTCTACGCTCTTAACTGCTGATATGATTGTCTTATGCACGAAAAAACCTTTACGAAATTCATGGTTCTCATTCCCCTTTCCACAAAAAAATGTATATTAGCCTACTGGTTCGACGCCACCTCCATCCCATCTGACTTCCTGTACTCCCGCTAAATCTAACTTATATTTTGAGATTTCTTCCGCCACTGCCCTGAGCGAACCTGCCCTATACATTTTCGCTTAGTTGGGGGTGGACTCCAACTGGGTCCACTCGGCACGGCAGCCACTGATTGGCCTATTGTAGCCTGCCCCGGGTGATTATGATGGAGAATTTGATGGAATGAAGATTAGCAGGGGAAACCGAAGTGCTTGGAGAAAACCTGCCCCAGCGCAACATTGTCCACCACAAATCCCACTTTACCAGACCCGGGATCGAACTCGGGCCACCGCTGTGGGAAGCCAGCGACTAACCGCTTGAGCTATGGCGCGGCCTGCCCTATACATACTTCTAATATTCCAAGTGCCAAATCTCATATCCATTTTCTTTCGCTTAGGTCGTTTATCCAAGGAATCCGTCCAAATCCGAGTCTTTTTGTGACCTTTCGTAACAAGCTGAAAGACCACCCCTTGTCGTCTGTCCGTGACTGCTTATTCAATATATTCGCAGCTACTCTCCACGTCTGGAGACCGTGAGCTATATTCGCAACCTGAGGACGCGCCATGTCATGGTGACATGGACCCACCTAACATGGATCTGAATAAGCTAAACAGGTTTTAACAAGAATTTAAACTTATGGTTGTTCATACACTGGACTTCCACTGCTGTAACAAATATCCAAAACGTTCTTCGTGAAACACATGTTTGGGTGTCTCACAAGAGAACGTGTAACGCGACAAGGAATGTCTCGGTAAACAATACATGTGGCCGCATCGACAGCGCTACAAATTTCGTTCCCACTTTCGCGTACCCTGTGCATGGAAGTCAAGGGGGGGGGGGCATGAGGTCCGCTGATCGCGGTGGCAGTTCTGCTAACCCAAATGGCCAATATGAAAATGCTGATTTAGGTACTGCGTCACATATAGATGAACATGTGGGGGTGCTATCTGTGCCTATTATCATTTCTCGTTAAAACAAACGTGTCTGTCGCATTCGGATCTTACAGTTCCTGCTCGTGTGCCTGCAACCGCTGTGAAACACGCCTCTCTTTATACAGCACTTTTCTCTCAGAGTGAACTCAGGAACAACATTCTGGAGTCATGACGTGAAACACCCTGTATTTCGTATATAAGACGTATACTCCCGTCTTCAGGTAATGGATTGTCATACTGACACATGTCAGAGCAGAACCACATTCCTAAACCTCGCACAGGGCC